CTTATTTTGTGTTTCTGTAATAATTATAGGGAAAATATTACACCAGCAATTATTTTATTACCCTTTAAATTGATTTCTGGAGATTATCCAAGGTGCTTCATGACCCATAATTGGGTCAAAGCCCAACTTTGGGAACCAAAGTGCAGTGGTTCACAAATTTTTCAGCTTTTGATTCACAAAATAACAGTAGCAGAGACCTGAGCCCCCAACTATTTTTAGATGATAAACATTTTTATCAGGTCAATAAAACATGGGCATAGAAACAATATTAAATTTATCCATTTTAAATATACTAACCTCACTCCTTTGTAACAWYKAAGGCAAAAATGTAATTAATTCAGAAAATCTTGTCAGGACCCCACTTTGATGTTTCGGGACCCCACTTTGGGTCCCGAGCCCAACTTTGGGAAACACTGGGCTAGACTATTATGACTTTAAACTTGTAATATTTTGACTTTATTTTTATACGACTTTAATGTTGTAATATTATGACTTTATTCTCGTAATTTAAAACAAATCGTGTTGTGTGGCCCTAATACTCCATCATACAAGTTCAGTCATGTCAGTGGAAAACTGATTTAGAGTTTGATCTTACTCTGCTGCATCTGGAGGGCTTTTCTCAGCTTCTGCTTTAACGTCTGGGCTCTCCTTTTCACTCTCCTCTGCTGTTGTGTTACCTGGGGTTTGGAAAATCACACAATTAATGAATTATCAAAAGGGACACACACACACATGCTCCTAAACAACCTAAAAGTAAGAAAGTATTTCCTTTCTACACTGCTATAGGAGAGAAATGAAAAAGGTTTGGAAAAACTTCAGGGAACCAGTCTGATCCGGTTCAAACTGATCCCTCCTGCAGCCGGTCTCTGGGGTTTGTTGGAATAAATGTGTGTAGCTGTGGACAGCCAGCAGCACGACACACAGCAAGTCTGTTTGCTTCGATAGAAAAGCAAAGAAAAATTAAAAACATATTTTTGTTTTAACTAAGTTTTTATTTCTAAACCCTCTTCAGCGTTTCAGCAGAAGAATAAAAAGTAAAAGAGGAAAAGATGTGAAAGGTTAAGCCCTCTAACCAAAGCCCTCTGTAGAATAAAAAAGTCACTGTGTGGTGCAGTCAACTAGAAACAGTGTGACGTTACAACATGGATGAGCTCTGTGCTGAAGTTGGGTCTAATTAAATGCAGCTGGGTGCCTCCTGCAGAAACACACTGAAGCTGCAGGAAAACAAACTGACCCAGTTTCACAGCTGCTAATCTAAACATGGACAGAGTCAGACAAGGAAACTCTGTAGTGTGACTTAAAAATAACTAAAACTAACAAAAACACTTATTTACTGAACACATTTCCTCCAAATCTGTTCAAACCTGACTGAGTTCTGCTGAAGATGTTCACAACATTCAGTTCAACCACACTTCTCAATGTTTAACTAGTCAACAGGGGTTTATGGTAACCAAGTACTTTTACTTTGTTACACTACTTCAGTTCTTTTTTGAGGAGCTGTAATTTTACAGTATTTTATATATATTTTTTATTACATTCAAATTTAAAACCTGGTTACTCGTTACAAATTAAATCCGTCTGAACTGTTTCTGCACTGTAAAAAATGAAGTGTTGAAACTGAGGAAATGTATAAATTACTTAATTTTATTAACTAGGTTTCAGTGGTGGGCAGCGCTAATCCGAAATTTAGCTCCGCAATTTCTAAAGCGCTTATGAAAATATTTAGGTCCTAATTTTAAAGCGCAAGWTCAATTTGACACTTACTAGCTGACAAAAATTCATGTACAATATATACACAACACTGCCAACTAGAGGTGTATGAATACTTTTACAACTTAATCCTTCAACCTCTGATTGCTGGAGATGTGATTTCCTGAAACAGACCTTTAGCTCCTGGTGTAAAAATTAAAAAGTTGTTGAGGATTGCTAGTTCAGCTGCTTCTTTGTCTTTTTCTTTTGTTTGTTGTAGACCGGGAGGAGGCCCCGAGGAAGACCCAGGACACGCTGGAGGGACTATGTCTCTCGGCTGGCCTGGGAACGCCTTGGGG